TTGCCTTCAGTAGCTTTTCAAATGTTACCATAAAAGGTAAAAATGACTTACATTTTGGATTGTTTACTTTTTAATTTTAGGTTAAAAATTAGTCAGGTAATGAACAGATAGCTGGAAATGACTGGTGTGTTTAACAATGAAAATAAAATGGAACTAAAAAAAAAAAGAGATGAGTCAGAAAAATAAAAAAACGCAATGTCATGAATTTCAATCAATTTCATTCAGCTTATTTATATAGCACCAATTCACAGACCTGTGTCATCTCAAGGCACTTTAAAATTCGACCAGTTAAAACAGTCAAATAGATTAAAAATGTTCTATCTAAGGAAAACGAGTTGATTGCATCGCCATGAAATCATGGATTAAAATCTCTCCTAATACAACCAGGATTAAAATAAATATATTCATAAGACAGCTGTGGTCAAGACAGCTGTAGAGAAATGACTTAAGACAAATCATCAAATCATATGACAACTGCATTTCACCAGCTGACATCAAACAAGCCCAACTTGAAAATGAGGAGCCAAAATCAACCAAGTTCTCCAAGTAAACTACCAACACCCATCAACCCAGGATTGCTTGTAAAATATAAGCTAATAACCAACACATGTTGTAACGTAGAAGCATGAAGCATGCAGCTCATATATGAGCAAAGCTCATAAACTGAAAGCTAAGCGTTAAATATCCAAGACCTCATTAAATACTTGAAGCTAAGAGCCAAAAAGTTGGGGGAAGTGGCGGCCTGGTGGTTAGGGCATAGAGCTTGGAATGCAAAAGTTTTGAGTTCTGAGACCGCCACTCTGGGTCTTTGAGCAAGACCCTTAACCCCACACTGCTCCCTGAGCGCTGAACGATGGCAGCCCACTGCTCCCCAAGGGGACGGGTTAAAATGCAGAGGAAATTTTCTCCAATGTGAGATCAATAAAGTTCAATTATTAATATTAAAAAAAGTCATAATTTAAAACCAAAATGCTCAAGGAAAATCTCTATCTGCAAGTTAACAGCCAAGCTATGTTTCTGAGCCACAAGCAGAAATGCACTGAAAAGATAAAATTGAAGTCATTTTTTGTTTTTTTTTCTTAAATAACTGCATTTTTTCTTAAATTGAGCAGGTAAGTGGGACACTGTGCCAATGGAATGAGACAGTTTACTTTAAAAAACAGCAAGAAATGCAACTGCTTTTAAAATCTTTTTTTAATGAGATCTTTAAAGTATCAAGCTTTCTTACTGAATAGGAAACCTCACTCTGTAAAAAATACAAATCTAAATAAGTCTATTTTTCTTAAAATAAGGGCAGTTTTCCTTGAATTGAGCAAGTAAGTGAGACACTTTGCCAAAGAGACAAGACAATTTAAATTTAAAATAAGAAAAATAACCCTTGCAGTCTCTTATTTCAAGTGCATAAATTCTAATGATATTTTAAGGATAAAAATACTAATTCCATCTGCCGATGGACCTCAAATTAAAGGTAAATACACTTATTCTAAGAATGTTTTACTTATTTTAGGAGCTGATTTACATGTTCAAAAACATCAGAGTTATGCCTATAAACACAAACTAAAAGCTATAGGAAAGTAAGAAGTGGGCTTTGCTTTTAAACTGTAAGCTATAAGGGCTGATTATTTTGCAAATCGATTAATCTGTCCATTATTTTTTTTGATTAAACGATTAATAATCGATTATTAAAGTGATAGTTAAAGTGCAAAAAAAAATGTAATCACAAAAAAAATTTATATATATACACATTATATATATATATATATATATATATATATATATATATATATGAGAGAGAGAGAGAGAGAGATTGATCTATATATGTATAGATATATCTATATATATAGATATAAAGATATATAATTTATTTACCATCTTGCTACAATAACTGCTCTAAGTGGGTCACGCTGTCAGATAAAGGCTTGATTTTCCGTCTCTATACTCCAGTTAATGATTAATCGATTACTAAATTAGCTGACGATTAATCACAATGAATCCGATTAGTTGTTTCAGCCCTAAATGTAATGCTAACAACTTGGTAATCCTTGGAAATATTGGCTAAAAGCTAACTGAAAAGCACATCAAAAAACCATGACAAAGATTCACTTCACAGCTTTAGGAGAAAAAAAGAAAAAAAAGAAAACAGTTTCAAGTCTTATTCATTTTGAATTGGATGTTCCTGCATTATTATCCTGATGGATGTGAGACAAACGGTGACTCTTTATGGTGGGAGTGTTCTGTGTCTTTTCTAGCTGAGTCCTCAGCATCCATTCTACATCCTTCCTCCTGTGCTACTAGTACAATTTTTCTACCAAAAGCTGACATTGTTTTTGAAAGCTTTCAAACAAACAAAAAACATAAATGTATTCTTTTTAATGTAAGCAGATAGAAATTTAAATAGTAGAACTGATTTTTACTATATTGAAAACTGTTTTAAATTCAATAAATAATAATTTACTTTTTAAGCTTTAAACTGCCTTGTATTTAATTTAAATAGATTTTCTTTTTCAGTCCACCTTCAGTCAACCTGCAGTTATACATGTTTTTAGGTTGCCATACTAACTTAATATCCCATAATTGAAATAGTCAGAATTACCGTATTTTTCAGGCTATAAGTTGCACTTTTTTTCATGGTTTGGCTGGCCATGCGACAATAGAACGCTATGTAGCTTTGCACGCAACAACATGTATTCTATTACCGGTAATACCACTGAAAGAAAAAACGTTACAACTTACCACAACAAAACAAATTAGAATTACAGCAACGACCACTGAATAGAAAAAAGCCACCTGAAAGAAATTAATATACTGCTGAATTCAAGCAGAAAGTAATTAAATATGCAGTCGAACAACCAGAGTAGGCGACAGGGAAACTGACGCGTTATCACTGCTTCTCAGATGCTCGTTCATGGAATAAAACAATGCGGTCTTCGAGCAGTAGCCTACCACGCGCCAGTTATCAGAAAACGAATTCCATGGAGAGAATAACCTTTCTTTTAGTCCGTGGTGACGTATACGTTTTTTTTTCGTATTTATGATGCATTATTTGGCGGATGCGACTTAAACTCCAGAGTGATGTATAGTTGGAGTGGCGATAGTCTAATATGGCTTTATAAATTTAATTTCTGTTTCTGAAAGACCTTTCAAACAATTGCTTCAGATGGCTTCTCAGTTTCTCTCTTTTAGCAGTATTTTGTTTTTCTAACACATACAGCCATGCTGATTGTGGTTTTTATGCTTCCTTGTTTTCACCCTTTCTTGTGTTCCCTCTCATTCATCCAAACACCATCTTCATTTTGCCCCCCTCCACCACTTTGCCTCTCCCTCCATCCCTTTTTCTCCCCACCTCCATTCCACCAAGAGTAATTCCATCTCTCTCTCTGCAAACAAAGGGGGCTAATAACATGCTGACACCGAGCCTGATGATTGAATTCATTAGGCGTGCACAATAATTGCCAGGCGGCAGCGTGCGCACACCCTTCCATTCACAGGACAGCTGTCACATAACAAGCAAGAGAGAATGGCTTTTTATTGTTGCACTGGAATAGAAAGTGAGAATGAATATAAGGAATGAAGTGAGAGAAGCACCTGTTGTGGAGAGAAGCATAAGGAAGCTCTCAGCATGTCAATTAGGCTGATGTGCTGGTGCTGGGTTAGTGGGAAGTTTACTGCTGGGTGACATGAAGGTGCAGGTATAGGCTTTACTGGAGTTCTTTCTAACTGATGAGCTTCTGTTAGCATCTCCTATAGCAAGACATTCTTCTAGGTATTAGCCGTATGAATCTGTTTTAGCCTATAGATAATACTGAAACTAATTACACCAATATTGAGTTTATTTCCAGTGAAAATAAAGTGTATATGACTGTATATCAGCAGCAACAGTCTTCTACGAGAAGTACTGTAGAAGCAGTGCACAGCAAACTTTCCTGCACTGCACATAAAAGCCCAGCATGCTGTCTATTATAATTATAGCTCCCAGGAAAAACCTATAAAATCAGAAATCAGGAGATGTCAGTCGCTGACTGTAGTGAATCAGGCAGTATGGTAAGTTCTGAGGAGGAACAATGTTTCTTATTTTCCCTGGACTGCAGGGCTGTGAAAAAGCTGCCAGCCACTAAGCCAAACTCACGGATCTTCACCATGTTTGTGTGCAGAGATTCCTCCTCCTGACGCATTGGAAAACGCTATTATACTGCTCAGCTTACCGTCTTAACTTTTGGGAAGTTGTACTAGTCTTTACCACTGAAGGTCTAATATTATCCTAATTTAAATCAGATGCAAACTAGTGGTTTTTAATGTTAAAATTTTCAAAGCTAAGGGGTTGTTTTGAAGAAGATGGCTTATCAAAATAAAATTATTGGTATCTTATTCTGCTCCTTTAATAAATATGAGGTTTAATAGGAGAATAACTAGCTTCAGAGCTTAAAATGGCTAGCTGGTAGCTCAGCTGGTGTGGACAGACCTTTTTTTGAGGGGCGGGGTTTATTCAAATTTGTATGTTAAAAGATATGATACAGTATATGTACTTTATTGATCTTTTACTCTTAAAATAATGCATTATTAGAAGGTTTCTGCAGGTAAGCAGTTCATTATTCATCTAATGGTAATTCTTGGTCAACATTCTAAAATTAAAGTATTAATTTAATTTTAATTTTGCTATTTTTCTTATTCCACATAGTAAAAAAACAGCATTCACAGATATGATGTAATCGGTAACAGATAAGCATGTTTGATGCAAGTGAAACGCTGTTCTGCACCAACAGATGCTGCACCATAAAATGCTCCCTTAATGAACTTGTTTTAATACACTGCTACGTGAGATTCCTCCCATAGGAAATGCTGGGGTACTTGCAGGAGTAAATAGGTTCCTTTAATGATTTGTTCGATGTGTCTGAAAGGGAAGGCTGACTAAAATACTGTTAGAGTAAATTATACATCCTTAAGCAAGCTGTGAAATGTTTTTATATTTAATTTTCTTTTGTTTTGTCTTTTTTCTGTTATAGAAAACGGATGAGGATGAGTTGGTTCTGACTCCCGATGGGACCAGAGAGTTCCTGACCTTTGAGATCCCACTCAGTGACTCGGGCTCAGCGGGTTTAGGTGTCAGTGTTAAAGGCAACCGCTCCAAGGAAAATCATGCAGATCTTGGCATTTTTGTCAAATCAATCATAAATGGTGGAGCAGCATGCAAGGTACTAATTAAACATCCTGTAATTTATCAGCTGTTAAATCAGCAAAGCTATGTTTCTTTATTGCTATCGAGTAATGGACCACTGTCATTCCTTTGAACGAACAGGATGGACGTTTGATCGTAAACGACCAGCTGATCGCTGTGAATGGAGAATCGCTGTTGGGAAAAACCAACCAAGATGCCATGGAGACGCTGCGGAAGTCCATGTCAACTGAAGGCAACAAACGAGGGATGATCCAGCTTATAGTGGCCAGACGAGTTGCCAAGAGAAATGAGGTATGGAAAGAATAGGAGCAAAGTTTAGGGCTGGCGATACGACCTCAAATCAATTCCTCGATATATTGGGCAGTTTTACCTCGGTAATGATAAATGGATGATAAATGCTCCAGCTACTCTATCAGAAATAAAGGGATGTGCAGGAAATGCAACTGATCTGTTAATAAATGATTTTCTGAATAAATCACATTACATATTACTATCAATTGAATATTAAAGTCTTTTTCCCATTCAGGTTTAAACATTCAACAATGTCTCATTAACAGGCGATAAATGTTACCTCTCTTGGTAAACGTTTTTGCACAAAGGTATTGGAGCCTTTTGCACATCTTTAAACTGGACTGAGTGGCCGTGCTGTAGGTGGTGGAGGTTGCATGTGTTACATTACGTAGTCCTGACAGTTTTCAGACAAGCTTCGCATTTCGTGCTCTTTTGCCCAAATTTATGGCGTAATTTTGATGCCACCGAACTGAGCGTGCAGTGAGAACAATGTGCGTCGTTTAAACTCACACATTCTCACTCAAAACTTGTCTGTCGCAAGATCAGCTCTGACATCGCGCTCTTGACTTCCTCTCTGCACGCTCGGCTTAATCTCTGCTCTTGTTCGGCTCCACAGGATTAACTGATGTCATTTAGTTTACCACTGCGTTAGACGCTTCTTCACTGGGCTCATCTGCCATTCTCTTTCTTTACGTTCTGACTGAATGGGTGGAGTCGCGTGATTAGACACACCCTGCCGTATCTTAAAGGGGAAGGAAATACCAGCCACCTTGCACACAGGAAAAACGCCAGAATTACGTTTTTTTTCTTTTACTGACATGGGAAAATTGTTGCCGGTTACCAAAAAGCCAGTTACCATAGTGAATGGCGGTAATAGCAAAAATCCGGTTTATTGCCCAGTCCTACCAGAGTTAAACTTCTTGATTACTTCCTTGGTTAATTTTCGTCCTTGCCCAGCTTGTTAGTTTGGTTTTTCACCATTTCTTGGTGGATGTGCCTTTGTCATACTTCACTAGGTCTAACTGTGCACTCTGAGCTGATTGTTCTCTAATCTCTTCAAACAGACCTCCTACCTGGTATCGAAAAATTTAGTGGAAATAAAAAAAAATTTAAGAAAAACATCCTAGATCTTCAGATTGTTTGCGAAAACGAGTAATATGCAACTTTATGTTGGTCTTCTACATAAAAGCCACACATAATACACAGAGACTGTGATTGTTATGCAAGAAATGCCACTGCTGAGTTAAAGCTTTCCAAGGTACTGAACCATATAATATGTAGGGCTTAAGTTGTTTTCCAGTTTTAGACCAAAGAGGTAAAGCTTTAACTCCATACGATCCTCTTTGTGATAAAAATACGACTCACCCCAAAGCAGACCACCTGGAACTGCTCCTTATGAGCATCACTTAATTATTTCATGTAGTAACAGGAAGTATTCAGGTCAGTGTGATTTACCAACCCCCCCCCCCAAACACTAACACGCCTCCCATGGGGCAGGCAGAGGAATGAAAACGTACTACAAACCAAGCAACAAAACTTTTTTTTGCCCCTTTACCTTCCTTCAATGTCATGTCTTTACATTCCCTGTACACCTCGGTCTGTCACCTGCTTGAAAGCTAAGGCTGAGTGAGTGTTGGTGTGCGAGTGTACGCCTCTGGCTCTACCAGACTTCCCTGCTCTCCTTCCCCAACCAGGTGTGTCAAAGTTTAGATTTCCCCTCGGCCCCGGCTGGTAATTGAAAGCAGAGGCTCAGCCTGGAGGTGTTTTTTTTTTTGCCGTGCGTCGACGTGTATGCATGTGTTTGCATCAGCCTCTTGTTTATATATGCATAGACGGGCAGTAAGGTGTGTGGTTAGGGCAACCAATTTGTGCGTTTATTCATTTATTTTCAAGGCTGTTTCTGTGTTTGTTTAGGAGAGCCAGTGTTTACCTGTGCTTTAATGCCGTGAGACTCAGAGTATAAGGAATTAATAAAATTCAGGCCTGGTTAGTCTTTCTGTGTTTGTTTCACATGCACAGCTGGAGGCATGGCCTGGGGCTGCCCAAGTGTCTGGCTGTTTATAAGAAAAACGCTCCACAACACTCGGAAAATACAAAGATGGAAAACAGTTTACTGCACTTTGACTGTACGTAGAGGATTTACAAACCCTCTCTGGAGTTACTGCAAAATAATGACGTCCTCTGCAGCTGTCAGTCAAAAAGAAAAAGAAGGATCTTATAATAACTAATTACTGCTGGATGAGAGCCTTGGCTCATTTTTGACATTTTCCTGACATATGGGATCAAGTAATCCTGTATTTACTTTCCTCTCCATGTCTCCATCCCCTGACAGCCAATCTCAAATCAATCTGCAATGTTTGTCGCTGCATAAATCACAAACCCAACTGCTTCCGCTCCTTCAACCGAGCCCAGAAACACAGCAAATTGAGAGCAGCGCACTTCCACACACCACCACTGGCCTCCCCGCTGGGATCCAGCCCTTCCCCGAGCTCAGCTATCAGCCTGAATATGCAATGAGCTGCGGCATGGTTTGTCGATGCGTTGTCGGCCTGCTAAATCCCCTCTGCTATTACAGAGGCATTTTAGCCCCGCTCCTCAGTCGGCCAATTCATTAACTACCTCATTTAGAGTCAAGAGCAGCCAGCAGTCACTGCACCATATGGCGACCTTTGAAATTAGTTTGTTTCCGAAGTTGATTTGTTGGCTCCGTGTGAAGTTTTGATTGGTTTTCTTCATTCAGCTGTGATTCAGTCATTTGTTTACCTCCAATGCAAGGAAAGCCGCAGCACTGCTAATGAAGATCTTATCTGGCATTAGTAAAACCTGGAGTCCATTAGAGCTTTTATTGATTAACGTCTATCAGTCTCTTTCCAATTGGTTTGAGGTAATTTACTCTGAACAGGTTTGTGTTTTCATAAAATAATTGATGTGGAAACATTTTAATTGTCATCCCAACGGCTTATTGATATGTTGCCTCAAATTGCATAGCCTTGCTCAGCCCAAGGAAATCAATGTTTTTCCTTCTTGTCTCAATCATTGCTTTGACTTTTAGGACCATTATCTTACTTGGAGTATCGGCCTTATGTATTTTGTCTCTCGGACCCCCTTTTCAGACACTTAGAATGGTACGGGGCATTGCAGGCTAACAAAAGAAGCCAAATGACCCCCATTGCAAAGGGGTGGAGCTATCCGTCCGTTTCAATTTGCATGTGTTCAAGACAAAAACAAGGTTTTAATGGGCTACTGTATAAAACCTCGAACTCAACGCTGTTTCAGACATTTTGAATTGAAAAGGCTTCCTGGATGGGAAGCGAAATGTCTTCAAACTTGGAAACAAAGTCCAGTGGATTGTTTTAATTTTTTTTTTTTTTTTGGAGAGTCTCTTGCTTGCATTCCTCTTTTTGGGTCAGGTTTTCTGTTTACCTTCAGACCATCTTGTTTCTGTCTTGCATTAAGTTTTGTTCAGCATCTTTGATGATGTTACGGTGCTATGCGATTGGCTTATTCAATATTTGATGTAACCAATGGTTAAGTAAGAAGTATACCTAATAAATATCAATGAGTAAATCCCCCTTTCTTCAGTTTTCTCCTCTCTGGTCCCATTGTTGGACTCATATCCCCATATAAAGCCCAGATCTGTTTGTTTACACTAGTTTATAGCCATGCCTTAACCGTTTAGTAAGAGGTAAGGATCATTGGTCAAAGACCTTATGCCAAAATCGAATCCCAGCCTGCCCAGTTACAGCATTGATTGGGGTAATTTTGCTCCAGTATTGACTCCAGTGTTATCTCTTGTTACCTGATGCCGGCGACAGTGGTTATCTTCATAGCAAAGCCTGTCATCACTGTCAGCAAGAAATACAGAAGCCATTGCAAATCAATGGAGTCAATGATCCAATGGACAAACACTGAGGGCAGAGACCCCCGCGCTGACTTCTCCCGGGCTGTAGATGGGAGCTGCTTTGTGACAGACTCTGCAAATAGTCTATTTGTCGGGCAAACAAGGAAGCGTCCTCAAAGGTCTTGAGGGAAATGTCAGGACGGTGGTACGTTAACCTTCTCCATGGCTCAGCTGGCTTGTTAACAGCTGGTGACTCAATGGCCTGTTGAGAATGTCTGCTCATTTATTTTTGTTATCACACAGGTCGCATTAGGATTGAGACCTGCCCCTGTGCTCAACCGTATGTGTTTACACTATTTTAGCAAGGCTCATTCCCTAGAGGGATACTTTCTGACTTTTATTTCATGTCACCAAGGTTGTTTTAATGTGCTGCTCCTCATAAAGATCTTCAGTTTGTTTTGGTCCACATTTCAATAGACGTCTAGAACAATGTGATCAGATGAAAGGAAGGATTATAAAAAAAAAAAAAAAAAAAAGTAAAGTTCAGTTTATCTCCTTGAGATTTTATCATCTTTAGCACTTCCACCCAGGTCTTTATGGCACTTTATGCATGTAGTGCTAATTACCATCCGCTGAACACCAAGAAGGTGGTACAACATTAGGCTGTGTTCACTCTGCAGATTTTTATGCTAAATTCCATTTTTATTGTCAGATTAGATTTTTGTGTCACTGTTCACATGACGTCTCAAATAGTGGCACTGAAGGGACCAGCATGCACAGAAGAACAACAACAAGATCTCTCTATGGGTGGATTGAAAGCTTTTAACCAGTGGAAGTAGCTGGATGATACAGCAAACAATTAGAAAAAGGAGAAAGAGAACAAACTGTTCATCGTGGCTTTCTGTGGAGCAGTGGCAGCAATGTAGTCATAGTCAACTGACCTGTTACGACATGACCCCTCATGTTTCTCTTGGATCATTTTATCTGCCAAAATACTTATTAATTCCACAATGTTGTCTTTCCACTGTACACCTCTGTCTATGCTGTTCCACACTTTCAGTACAAAGTGACATTGTCACACAATTTATGAGACGGGTCACTTGGCTGTTCAGACTGCAGTCAGATCCCAAAAGATCCAACCTGTAACAGTTTAACAGCATGGGGACAAAAACAATCCCGACAAAACAAAAACTGTAAACAGCATAGATGGAGATGTACAGAGGAGCGATCATATTTTAAAAATAATTCAAGCATTTGGGGGGATGCAACACTGCAAAAGAAACTTGAGGGGTCATACTGTAACTGTCAGGGTTTGGTTGTGGTTTTGAGGACCCAAATGCAGAGGTGAGTTCTTGAAGATTAATAAAATTACTCACAGGCAACTGAGGCAGGAATCCAAAAAACCAACATAAAAAGTATGGAAAAAAACAGAACCATATAGACATCAGGGAAAACAGGACCTCAACACGCATGAGGAGCCAGGAAAAGGCAAGGAACCATCAGTGAGGAGCTGCACGGGGAGAGTATATGTGGGAGACTGAACAAAGATGCCATTAATGAGCTAATTGGGAGCAGGTGTGAACAGAGGTTCCTAGAAGGGAGCTAGGAAAAAGGAGAACACTAGAGGGCATCAGAGGGCAATCAAGAAAAACCTAAGAAATCAAATATTTCCAGAAAACACAACAAAGTAGGAATTAAACCAATACAACTAGAAAACAAAGAAAACCATGGATTAAAGTGAAACTGAAAACTTAACAAGACTGTGACAGTAAGTGGTCAGTTGACTACAATGCTGTATTGATGCATTTGTCTTTGGAGATGTTGCTGCCACTGCTTCTCCTTGAAGCTGCAGTTAATAGTTTGAAAAGATCGGGGTTGAGGGTGCAAAATGAAGGAGAAAGGGTCTGATTGGATTCAGCCTAACAGTTCTTCTCTCTGTTTTAGGAGACTTCAGGGAGCCAACTGGGACCTCAGCAGACGGCAAACACAACTCTGGACGATCACGAGCGCAGAATCTCCCACTCTCTCTATGGAGGCCTGGAAGGCCTGGATGACAACTTGATGCCACGCCAAGGAATGTTTCCACGCACAATAGGTATCATTCAAAGCTTCTTTTTCCTCATTTTAACTTGGTGCTTTTTGAAGAATCATAGGCGGCTTACAAAACTTTTCTATATATTCCTTTGCTTCAGCCTCCATTAATAAACCTACATTAGGTAAGGTGGGAAACAGCTGGTTTCATCAGAACGTCTCACTATCAGGTCCTGTATTGTTCTGCTCTGCATTGGAAAGCATAGTTCATATTGGAAACCAAGTCCAGTGGATATTTTTTGAATTTTTACGGAATGACTATGACCTGGATGACTGAGAACCTTCATCAGCATAGTTCATATTGCTCTGCTGAATTATGTAGCTTATTTTAGCCATTTGGTCGAATGTCAATCAAAACCGTCAAATATGCAGAGCTCTTAGTTTAAAGGCTAATTAGTGCTATTTTCCTAAAAAACTCAAAAGGTAGAAATCAAACAAAATTGACCACTAAAAATGACCAAGAAGTGCATTTTCAGTTGGGGGCAAATAGACCTTTAAAGTTCAAATAGAAAACACATGCTTATAATTTCTAATTTCATATTATGTACAAAATTAAAGACATCACAAGTGAAAAAAATATCCAGCATTTTGTTGTTTATGGCATAAACTAATGCACTAAGATAGCAGACAAGCCAAAATTCCTTATTCAGTAATATGACCCACTGAGGTGCTGTGGGATGCTGTGACGTCAGTTTAGTCAGAAAGTAGTCATTTTACATAGCCAGTCCATATTTATTCACCTTTGTAAATGAGTTTTTATCCTTTAATGAGGACGAATACAAAGAAATCAGTCTTAGTGGTTTTATTAATGCTCACACACAATAAAACTGCTCTAGACGCACTCCTTTCTATTTGTGATGACGCAACAAACTGCACAGCCAGCACACAGAAACGTCAAGTGAAAAGTAGTGAAGCAAGAAAGCAGAGGTATCAGCAGACAGGTTTGAGTGAGGGGGTGCAAGTTTGAACGCCGCACATCTGCGCGCTCAGGTCAGTTGTACAAACATTATGCCAGAGAAAGCGAAACATCCCCCTCACCGTTCTGAATATAAGAAGTTTTCCACACAGCAAAGTAAACTGACGCCAGACATGCCCACTCCATCTGTGGCGGACATGTTGGAAAATGCAAGAAAGTTTCCCAGTGATTCTGTCAAGGTTAAGGGCATTGCCTTGATTGATTTTTTTTTTTTTTTACAATCCCCCTAAATAGATCTAAACTCAATGCTCTTATTTTTGCACTGCACCGAACATTTTCATATCAATACCTTTTGCAGCATGACTTTAAACTGGTGTTCCTTTTCTCCTACAGTCTACATTCTTGCATCACTGCTGCATTTCATGAAGGATAAAGTTCATTCACTGCTGAAAAGCTATATGCATCGATAAAGTTTGTCACTAGAAAAACTGCCAGTGGTCAATACATATTTTGATACTTCTGTAATTGATTTATTGAGATGCCTTGATTTATGCATCGTAACCCAGACTCCTATGGTTCTAATATTTGGCAGGATTTCTTTCGCTTTTCCATTTTCAGTTCTCAACCTTGGTAGCTTAAACTTTGTCAATTTAACAGATAGAGGAAAAGTTGCTGCTACACAACAAGTTGAAATGTTAAACACAGGATGTATATGAACAGGAAATGGACCTATTTCCATTAAACCTGAATGTTGTTTAATCATCTTAAGACACAGATGGTCCACGCTGCTTGCATCACACCGCTGGTTTTTTTTTTTAGCTAATTTGGAACTTTACTTGCTCTCCTTTATTGACTTTCTGTGTTTATCAAGCTTTGCAGGTTTTACAGCAATGACTGATTTTTGACTCTTCAGATAAAATAGAAAAAAATAAAGTCCTCTACCATCTATTTTTTAAATTAATATTATTTCTGTTTTATAATCCAATGGTACCATCTGCTCTCTTTTTGTCTCTTTCTGTCTGTTTTCTTTAAAGACCATCAGGGAGCAACAGACTGAACAAACTTGTCCTTTTTACATCTTCTCATCACCGCCTGTTCTTCATACATATGCAGATATGCGTGTCTTAAAACCTTTCTGTTACTGTGACCTAAAACAGGCCATGAAATGGCTTTAAAGTGTGGGGGGGTCGTAAACATATGTCTTGGACAGAGTGGAAGAGATTAGTGAGCATATTCATATGCATATGTAGGAGCTTTAGATGCAGCTGTGCAGGATTGCATGTCTGCAGAACATAAATTACTGCTTGATGGATTGCTGGTTAAATTTCTTGATGACTCAAAAAAAGAGGACTTCTGTACAGCAGATGGTGCAACGACACAGATTGCCGGTTTTCATTTCCCAAAACTACAAATAAGACAACCTTTGATTGTGTTTTATTTTTTTCTTCTAGCCTTTGTTTGGTTTGGTGCATTTTTATTTTCATAAAACAAAAACGTTAGAAATCTGAGTCTACAGCGTCACATATAAATAGTTTTAGCCAAAGAGGAGTTGATGCACTAACTTTTAATCAGTTTTTTAAATGAGCTTCCGCTAACTCTGCCTCATTAATCAGTGCAACATAATGCTAACGTGAGAACTCTGCTTTCCCTTCATGCAAATTGGTTGACACTGGTACCGCTGTGAGTGTAAACAAAGGAGGGTGACAGAGAAAGTGTTAATAGGTGAAGCTCCATCATGCTGCTGCTGCAGCGGCTACGTTCAGCCATGCTTAACAAACAGCAACAACTTATAATGAGCCTGCAGGGTCGAAAGTGAAGACTGATCTAACTCATGCGAACAAGATCATTGTTACTTTGCCTTCAGACATGTTGATGGGGCTGTGATGGAAAGTGTTTACTACGATTTATGTATGTAGTCCTGTGCAAAACTTCCAAGTCATCATCTTATTTCCATATGCAGATATGGATATTTTTTTTAACATTTCCTTTAGATTTATTACTGTTTTCTTTGATGTTTGGCTGCACTTTGTTTGTTCTAACTTTGGAAATCAAAGTATCTTTTTATCCAATGTTCAGGAAAAGATTTTTTTTTGTCAACTGCAACTGAGAATGGAAAGGTACTGAAGGGATAACTACAGAAGATTCATAAGATACAGTTATCAAAAACGGTGTACTGGGATGAAATTTCTGTAAGAAATATGCAAAATATCAATTTAACAGTTGCAAAGACAAACTATTTACTATGAAAATGTTTAAAACATTTAATCAACAGCGGGAATGTAAACGGCTTATTGGCTAGAGGGAAGGATGTGTGATAGCGCTCCTTTGTGCATCTAGGATGCAGCGGTCTGTTACTGAAGAAGCCTTCAGTTCTGCAAAAGCTTCATGCATCAGCAGAGAGACATTGTCCAACAGGGATTTATTATTTTCTAGAGCCATTCTGTTTTTAAAGTTTTCCAGTAACGATTTGGTCTTCCTGATGAGTTAGTCTCGAGGCTGATTTAAACTCAGAAACCAGGTCATCTGCTTGTAGGGCTGGGTACCTAACTTCGGTTCTTTTATGGTACCGACCGAAATGCTTCGGTTCTACCGAGTATCGAAACATGTCTCGTCTTTCGTTACCAAGTTTCGGTGATTGGTTGTAACACTTAACGTGATTGCGTCATCCAGGAAAAATACACAGCTGGTCACGCCTACAGCCAGGGTTCATGTGTATCTGTTGTGAACTGGTTGCAGCGTCGTTAAACCCCTTTAAAATGCTCCCCAGGTCAAAATTGTGGCTTCACTTTATTAAGACTGATGCCAATAGTGCGCAATGCAATACATCGAGCACGGAAACAATTTAAGAGCAGAACGTTGCTCGGTGTTTGACTGCAAGAAGAGCGGACTGCAGCCAGCGCGACCCTCCTCCTCTCAGCAACCCGTGGGCAGAGCAAAGCCAGAGCGGAGTGAATCATGCTGCTTTCAAACTGGACGCAGCAGGAGCAGCAAAATCGCGTCTGCTGCTTCCTTTTTGCTGCTTGTACCAGCTTCTGACGCGTGGCTGAAGAAGCTTTGCTGCTCTGGCTGCGCGGTCGAAAAGTGGCTCTGACGCGCGTTGGGCGGAGCTACTCTATCCTTTATTTGCCTTGCAGCTATATTTGCTGTGATCAGTGGGAATAAAGTAGTTTTATCATGTTTTAAGTGGGAAAATCCACCTGAAAACTTAATGAGTGCAGTCAGTTCATCCTGCCTTCCAATATTTCTGTCGGAGCCGCTCAGACCCCCCCATACCAGCGGTGCGCTGTCAATAGGATCCCATTCAACGGGCTTGTTTGTCAGACATGGTAATTTTTCTAAAGGAAAACTGCTAAGTAAAAAGGTCCTCACAATGTAACAGTGAATATTAGACACTGAGATTTTTTTTTATTATGTAAGAGGAAAAATGTAAATGGAAAAATCAGAGCATAAAATAAAACTCAAGATTTGTACTTTTTTATGTTGTGTAATTTTCTTTTTCTTCGAATTGATATTAGAAAACTGGTATCGAAAAAAGTATCGTTCAGGAACTGGTATCGAAGTGAAGGTATCGGTATTGGTACCGGAACCGAAAATTTTTGAACAATACCCAGCCCTATCTGCTTGTGTGTCGCAGTGAACGCAAATATGCCGCCGTCCCTTCCGCAGACACTCATCTGCATCTCTCCAATATTGTAGCTGACCGCAGACAGGAGGCCTCTGATTGGTCAAATCTACATACGTATTTCCTGTTTGGTACCTTACCGGCTTGTTTTGTTTTTTATGACCACCATTGTGGGACGACTCGCCCTCATGTCCCTCCGTCGTCGCACAAACTTCCCCCCAGTTCCTCGCCCCCTCGGCCGTGTCTAGGCCCACAGCTAGTTCCTGATTGTTCCTCTTGAGCTGTGGCGTGGAATAACATAGCAAAGACCATGCTTCAAAATTGGGCATAAATCAAAAATATCTGCGTCATACCGGCGGCAGGCTACCTGCGACACACTGCTGCAGCAGTATAACCAGCCCTTAACTGCTTCAAAAGCTGAAAAGAAGCTTTATATTTACTTCAGATACGTTTGCTGGAAGGCTAA